ACGAAGATGGAAAGAGAGTAATTGTTCCAAGAGAAATGGGCTGATACAGAAGAATTCATGAAACAACATACAATCAAGAGGCAATAGTGATGAAGGAGGAAGTGCAGCTTGCCCTAGAGGAATTGGCAAGAAACAAGGTCCCAAGAATTGACAACATAACGGTTCAACAACAACAACAACAAAATGCTGCCCTGGACATACCAGGTTGTGTTAAAAATTTAGAGGACAACTACCTGGCCAACTGATGGGAAAGATCCATATTTATTCCCATTCCAAAAAAAAAGATTATGTAACAGTGTGTGAAAATTATTAAACAATATTACTAATATCATATGCAGGCAAAATTCTGCCAAAGATTATCCAAAACTGACTGGAACAGTACATCAACAGAGAACTACCAGATGGATTTAGAACAGCAGGCTGGGTTTAGAAGAGGCTGTGTGGTACTAGGGATATTGTAGCTAATGTTAGACAGATCTTGGCTGAAAGCAGAGAGGAATATCTACTTGCGTTTCATTGACAATGCAGAGGCATTTGGTTGTGTGGACCACAACAAATTGTGACTAACCTCGAGAAAAATGGGCATCCCAGAACATTTGATTGTGCTCATGAGAAACCTATACTTGAACCAGGAGGAAGTCATCAAAACAGAGCAAGGAAACACTGCATGGTTCAAAATCAGTAAAGGAGTGTGCCAGGGATGTATCCTGTCTCCATACTTTTCCAATATATATATGTGGAACAGATCATTCTGGAGGCTGGTCTTTATGAGGAAGAATGTGAATCAGAATTGGAGGAAGACTCAACAACTTACATTAGGTGGATGACACAACCTTGCTTGTCAAAACTAAGAAGAAAAAGATTCTCACCACTGGGTCAATTGACAGCTCCATGATCGATGGAGAAGAGATTGAGGTTGTTACAATTTGGTTTACATGGTTAAATTGGTTCTATGATCAACCATTTCGGCACCAGCAATAAGGAAATAAAAAGACTAATTACATTGGGAAAATCTGCTGTCAGGGACCTCTCCAGAGTACTGAAGAACAATAGTGCCAGTCTAGAAACTAAAACTGTGCCTGATCTAGGCCATGGTCTTTGCAGTTACTTGCTATGCATCAGAGAACTGAACAATGACTAAATGTAACGGAAGAATTGATGCCTTTGATCTGTGGTGCTGGAGAAAACAAACATGCACTGCCAAGAAAACAAATAGGTCTGTCTTGGAGAGGATGAAACCAAGTTTCTACTTGGAGGCTAGGATTTTGAACTCCATCTCACTTACTTTGGGCATGTTTCCAGGAGGGACCAGTCCTTGGAAAAGGATATCATGCTCAGAAGGGTGGAGGTGCAGTACAAGAGAGGTAGACCCTAAATGAGATGGATTGACTCAGTAACTGGGGTAATAGGGGTAGGTGTGTTGGAGACATTGAAATTGCCTCATGATAAGGCAGGGTTCAGAGCTATATTACATAGGGTTGCTATGAGTTGAAGGTGACTCGATGGCATATAACAACAACAGCAACAGCAGCCTAGTCTGTAGAGAGCTACATTGCTAACCGAAAGGTTGGACCTCTGCCAATTCAAAGCCACCTTCAGCTCAGTGGGGAAAAAGATGAGCTATCTTCTTCCATGTGATTTACAGCCTCAGCAGTACAATGGAGGATCAGCTATGAGTCAGTTCCAACTTGATGTTAATGAGTGAGTGGGTGAGTGAGTGAGTGTTGATATCTGGATTTGAAGTATTCTCCTGCATTGCTTCTGAATCTAACCAGCCAGCTCATTAACACTTGAGAAGATAGACAACAGTAATAGCATTATAAGAATAGTATTCAAGGAGATTGACAATATCATTTAGTGCAAGATTCCCCCCTCTCAATTAAAAAATATATCTGGAAAATTGTATTTTATATTTTTATGTGAGTGAATATGATTAGTAAGTATTTATGACTTATTGATTGAAAAAATTGTGTGCATTGCTACACAATAATTAATTAATTTTACACTTTGAGTTCCGTTTTCTTTAAAACCATGGAACTTGAAATAAAATTACAATTTTCTAAGCTATGATTTTTTTTTTATTTTGTGTTATATATCTTACTTACATATGCCAGAAAAAGTCAACCATAACTGAAGTGGTGACCTGTTCTAATGCTTGTTTAAGATGCTATTTGTTGAAAGATACCTTTTAGATTCTCTTTTGTTGTAGACTGGACTGATAACTTTAAAACACTAGAATTATTTCCGAGTTATCTAAATCTTAAGGTTTTTAAAAACTTATTTTGGAATAATAAGCTTCCCTAAACTTTCTAATTAGTTAATTTGATCTTCAGAACAAATGGAAAATAGAAACTAAGTTGAGCAGAGAATTTTGGAGTTGCTAGCCAGTATCACAATTAATTTATTGTTGTGACAACTGTTAGGGGCATATTCTGTTTGGGCGTTTTGTCAAGCAAGAATAAACTTTTAAAAGCTATTTCGGAAAAGGCACTGAAGTGAAATAGAAACTGAAGTGAGTAGATACGTAGTTTTATTGTTTTAATGCTTTTCTTTTACAACTTCAACTTAGACTTTACCTTCTAATGTGACTCACTGTAGAAGGAAAAGAATATTCATTAGAGAGGTGACATAGCTGGCATATAGATTTTAATTTTTAAAAGAATGTACTTAGACCACTCTGAAGGACACTTTGGCATTTCCTCAAAAAGCTGAACATAGAAATTGTATATGACTTGGCTATTCCACTACTTGGAACATGCCCTGAGAAAATTAGAACAGAGATACAAATAAAGATTGTGCCCCAATGTTCATAGCAGCATTATTCATTATCACAATAACATGGAAACATCCCAAATGTCCAACCACAATCTGATGGATTGAGAAATTGTGGTACGTTCACATGATGGATACTATGCAACACACAGGAGCAGTGTTCAAAAATTACTACATGACTTGGGAGGAACTGAAGATCATTATGCTGAGTGAATTAACTCAATCCATAAGGACAAAAACTGTATGAAACCATTATTGTAGAAATAGAAAGATAACTAGTGAAATGTGTATGAATATCCAAGGGGGAGAGAGTAGGAGCAGAGGGATGAGGATGAGCATGGGGAAAATCATAAGGTGAGGGGTGGGTAAAAGAAATGGGAAAGAGTTAATGGAGACCTGGAAAGACAGGGCAGTGGTGGGCATAGTTCCATGTTGATTAATTTTAGAAAATGTATTTAATGGAGATGATTATATGAAACACAATGTGAATGAAGGATAGTATGAAACACAATATGCACAAACTTTGTAAGCAAACCAGTAAAAAATATTTTTTATTTATAAACACTAGGACTTAGGAGAAGTTAAGAGTTCTTGTGGAAATGGGTCTAATTCTGTAACATTGAGTGAAATACTGGATACAGAGTCATTCAAACAGTAATGTTACATGTATAACATGGTGACTGAAAAGATTTCAAAGAAAATGATCAGATTAAGAATCAAAACAGTGGTCTCACTTTAGGATGTGTATGTTTGGATTTTTTTTTTAAAAAAAAATACTTATATGTCAAATGTGTTAATGGTTGGTTACCCAGTGTGGAAAGAGAGTGGGGTGGAGCTCCCAGATGAAAACAAGCTTGGAAGGAGGAGTGGCATCCACTTCCGTAATAACTTGCCTCTGGAAACCCTATGAACCTGTGGAGAGGATGAAAGACACCCAAGCGTTGAGGACTCTCCTTCATAGGGTTGCTGTGAGTCACCTGCGACTCAACAGCACTTAACAACAACATACTGATTTATTTACAAAGTTTGAATACATTGTTTTTTAACAAAAGATCCTTCCCATTTCCTTCACACACACCCCGTTGAATTGTGCAACCCTAAAATTAACCCCTCCCCAACTTATCCTTACCCCTCTGCTTCCATCCTGCCCTCTCCTTGGATCCTCAAACTCATTCTACAATATGGTTTTATACAGTATTTGTCCTTGTAGGACTGAATTAATTCCCTCAGCATAATGCTCTCCAGTCCCTCCCAATTTAGGTAGTAATTTACAAAATCATTGCTCCTAATCATATATCCCTTTTTATTGTCATGACAGCAGTCTATATTGAAGGCTGCATAGTGGACTGGACTTGGGGGGAGGGATTGCATAACAATGGAAGAATTTTACTTTTCAAAGAGAAGAATGAACTGGGTGGGGGGGGCAGGGAGAAAAGTGTAACAATGAATGAATGGAAATTAAAAAATGAGAGAGAAATTCAAGCTAGATTCAGAAGAGGCAGTAGAATGAGCGATATAATTGCTAAAGTCAGATGGATTTTACCTAAAAACAGAATGCTAAAAAGACATTTACTTGTATTTTATTGACTATGCATAAGCATTTGATTATGTGGATCATTAAAAATAATTATAGCTAACCTTGAAAAGAAAAAAAAATCATTGTTCCTGAGTACTGCATAGTATTCCATTTTAAGAATGTATTACAACTTTTCAGTCCATTTGTGGTTGAACTTCTGGGCTGTTTCCATGTTCTTGTGATGGTGAATAATGCTGTTATGGACACTGGTGTACAAGTCTTTGTTTGAGCCTCAGTTCTCATTTTCTTAGGGTCAATTCCATGCAGTGGACTAGCTAGGTCGTATGGAATTTTTATGTTCAGCTTTTTGATGAAGCTCCAAAATGCCTTCCAGAGTGGTTATACCATTTTACAATCCCACCAACAATGTATAAGAGTTCTTATCTCTCTAGAAAAAAAAAAGAGTTCTTATCTCTCCACATCCTCTAGGATGTGTATGTTCAAAGTTCTCTATTAACTAATTTGTCCATTTCTCTCTGTAGGTATATAAGAATGTGATTCTACAAGTTCCAGTGGGACTAACTATACATACCTTTTTGGTATGTTTTGTGACTCTGCTTGTTACAGTCTTGTGTTCTACATTGATCCTTGTAGCTGTTTTAAAATATGGTCATTTTTCCTTATATTTGTATTGAAATGAAATGTTTTCCATAAAACTAAATGAGACCTATTGATCTGTGACTCGAGTTGTTTTTCTACAGTTATGTCATTGCTTTTATATTTAATGGAATTATTGCTGAAATTATGTTTACTATTCCAAAATTTGCTACTCTGTTATATAGTCTCTTCATAGTCTGCAAACATCATGTGCTAATAGAAAAAAGAATTTTGTTGAATTAATATTTGTTTTGTAACTATCTTCATTTTGGATGAATGAGACAAATTTTATATTTTCTTTTGTAAATAAGAACCTTTCAGTTTAAAATAAAAACAGAGATAAATGCTAAAAGAAAGAATAAAATCACTGGCTGAACCAGAGGTTTATGTAAATTTTCATTTTGTGACTTTATTAAGAAATTTAACCAGAGATTTCAAGAAAACTATTAGAATGAGAAACTTGGAGAGGAAGAGAAAATTTTTCCCCTTCCTTTTTTCAGTTTTCAGATAAAAGTTTTTAAAGCTTAATAGTTTTCTATTCAGCAGTTTATACACATTTTGCTTCATGACAGTTGTTACAATTCCTTCTGTGTCATAGCACACTTCCCCTCTTCTTTCCGGGATTTCCTATTTCCATTCACCCCTCTTTCCTGTCCCTTCCCTCTGTATTTTGTTTTTAGGCAAATGCTACCCTTTTGGCCTTACATGGTTGATGGCGTTGAGGACCATCTGGTATTGTTACTCACCTTACAGGCCTATTGTTTAACTAAAAGGAAGTTATTAATATCAAAATTGACTTCAAGATTCTTTAAAGCATCTCCATTCTTCTTTTATATTTTATACTTGACTTTTTAAGTTTGATAAATTATAAAAGGACTTGGTAAAACTAAGTACTAAGATTTAATGTATATTATTATGAAAACAACTCGGATTTTCATCCTAAAGAGTATATTTTTTTTAAATTAAATCTTAAAGTTATTCTTTAAAAATACCCAAAGGGTCACATGTAAATGAGCAAATATGTGAAACACAATGTATATGAATTTTTTTGCAAACCAATATAAAATTTTTAAAAGTTAATCATTTTAGTATTTGTCATGCACTACTTGATCAGTCATAACAATTCTTTCTTGAAGATGTATGACACTTAAATGCTGAAAAAGACATTTTAATGCTATAAAGTGAAAATATTTGAGATATTTGAAAGAATTAACCCAGTATGTCTTCATAGACTGAATAATTTTCACTTTTTTTTTTAAAAAAAAGGGTTCTATATTTCCAGGCTGAGTTTAGAAGAGGCAGTAGTACTAGGGATATTATAACAGCTGAAGTTAGATGGATCTTGGCTAAAAGCAGGGAGTATCAGAGTAATGTCTATCTGTGTCTCATTGCCTATGCAAAGGCATTTGACTGTGTGGATCACAACAAACTGTGGCTGACTCTGAGAAGACTGAGAATCCCAGAACACTTGATTGTGCTTATGCAAAACCTATACTTGGACCGAGCTCTGGTGGCCTAGTGACAAGGAGTTGCACTGCAATCCCAAAGGCATGCGGTTTGAGGCCACCAGCTGCTACACAGGAGAAAGATGGGCAGTCTCCTGTGCCATTAACTGCCTCTAAAAACCTGCCAGAGGATCAGCTATGGGTTGGTTGCAACTCCATGGTACACAACAACATACTTGGACCAGGAGGCAGTCATCAGAACAGAGCAAGGAAACACTGTGTGGTTCAAAATCAGAAAAGGTGTACGCCAGGGATGTGTCCTCTCTCCATACCTTTTCAGTCTATATGCAGAACAGATTATCCCGGAGGTTGGGCTCTATGAGAAGTGTGGCATCAACAATCTGTACTATGCAGATGACACAACCCTGCTTGCTGAAACTGAGGAGGACCTGACACACTTGCTGCAGAAGGTCAAGGACTGTTGTCTTTAATATGGGTTGAAGCTCAACATCAAGAAAAGAAAGATTCTCACCACTGGGTGGATTGGCAGCATCATGATAGATGATGAAGAGATTGAGATTGTTAATAGGTTTAGTTTGCTTGGCTCCACAATCAACACTCTTGGTACCAGAAGCCAGGAAATCACAAAGACGAATTGCATTGGGAAAATTCGGCTGTCAGAGGCCTCTCCAAAGTACTGAAGAGCAACAATGTCAGTCTGGACACTAAGGTGCCCCTGGTCCAGGCCATAGTCTTTGCAGTTACTTGATATGTATCAGAAAGCTGGACAATGACTAGGGACGATAGAAAGAGAGTTGATGCCTTTGAGCTGTGGTGCTGGAGAAGAGTATTGAATATACTATGGATTGCTAGAAAAGCAAACAGGTTAATCCTAGAGAGGGTGAGACCTAGCTGCTCTTTGCAGGCAATAATTCTGAAGCTTTGCCTGGCATACTTTGGGCATGTTGCAAGAAAGGTCCAGTCCTTGGAGAGGGACATCATGCTTGGGAGGGTGGAGGGACAGCGCAGGAGAGGAAGACCCTCAATGAGATGGATTAATTCAGTGACTGGGACAATGGGGATAAGGTGTTTCAGAGGGAGTAAGATTGGCACAGGCTTTAGGGCAGTTGTACATAGGGTCTCTGAGTCACATGTAACTTGATGGCACATTAACAACAACATATTTCCAAGTATTTCTTTTATTAAAAGATTAATAATGTGATGGAGTTTTATCTGAGTTAAAATTCAGTAACATCAGTAGATAACATTTTGTAATATCTTTATAAACAGATGAGAAAATGTACTTTTTAACCTCTTAATTCTGTATATATCTGTAAGTGTATAACTTTTTCTTTTACACATTGGAAACATTTTGTTAACATTATATAAGTTTTTAAGTTAATATTTTGGAATTTAACTTGTAACACAGTTGAGTTATTAACTCATTTATTATATAGATATTAAGTACAACAAAAGTGAGGGTAAATGAAGAAAATTTTCATATGACTCCTCTTGTCTGATATATGGTTGTAGATGGATTGCTTTTGATATAATAGAACATTTATGCTTTGACCTCTTTATCCATGGCTATATTATTTTCTTTTGATATTTACTCAAAAAACTCAAATACATTGCTATCAAGTCAAAACTTCCACATAGCTGACCCTTTAGTGAGCCAGAGGCTATATGTCACACAGGAGAAAATTGACTGTCTTTTCCCCTTGAAACAGCCAGTGGATTTGAACCACCTGCCTTTGAGTTGGTAGAACAACTCCTTACCACTTGGCCACCAACACTTCCTTTAAAATGAATATGTTCTTTATTTTTAAAGTCACCTTTCTGACTCTGTAGATAGGGCTTTTTTTTTTTATTATAGCCAAGAGAATTGATAGTCTTCTTCTTCTATAGTTGCTGTTGAGTACTATGGAGTCGGAACCAACCCATAGCTGACCCTCCAGTGGTTTACCAGAGGCAGTTAATCTCACAGAAGGAGACTGACCGTCCTTCTCCTGTGGATTCCAGAACTTTCTTATGTTCCAGTATTTGTTCCACATTTCTCTCTCTCTCTCCTCCTCCTTCTCTTCCTCCCTCCCACCTTCCCTCCCTTTCTCTCTCTCTCTGTGTGTGTGTGTGTGTGTGTGTGTGTGTGTGCATAGGCAGCTTCTGGGTTATGAATATTTAACTTTTTAGACAAATCTTGATGACACCTCCCTATGAAAAGCACATCAAAACCTTACTCTATCCAGCACCATCCTACACCATGCTCAAGCCCATTGTTGCAGTCACAGTGCCAATTCATTTGTTGAGAGTCTTCTTCTCTTTCACTCATCCACTACTTTTCCCAGTATAATATCATTTTCTAAGGATTAGTGCTTCCTGACAACATACCCAATGAGGCTAAGTTTCACCATCCTTGCCTCTAAGGAGCACCCTGGTTGTACTTTATCCAAGATAGATTTGTTTGTTCATTTGACAATCTAAGAGATACTAAATACTTTGTCAATACCACAATTCAAAGATACCAGTTCTTCTGTCATCCTTATTCATTGTCCAACTTTCAGGTACATTGTGTTTATTGTTTTTAAGTGCTGTTGAGTCACAGGCGACTCATAGTGACCCTATGAAGCAGAGTCCTCAATGCTTGTGTGTCTTTTATCCTCTCTCCATGTTCATAGGGTACATAGGAAGCAACTAAAAATACCATGACAGAGGCCAGGTACACCTTAGTCTTTAAACTTACATCATTGCTCTTAAGCACTTTGGAGAAATCATTGGAAGCACATTTTCCCAGTGTAATACATTTCTTTCTTCCTGCTATAGGTATTGATTGTGGATCCAAATAAAATTAAATACTTGACAATTTAAATCTTTTCTCCATCTATCATGATAGTTGGAAGGATTTTTGTTTTCTTGATAATTAGATGTAATTCATATTGATGGCTATAGTCTTTAATCTTCTTCAGTAAGTGCTTCAAATCGTCTTCACTCTGCAAGCAAGATTGTGTCATCTGCATAACACAGGCTGTTGGTGAATCCTCCACCAATCCTGTTGTCACATTCTTCTTCATCTAGTCCAGCTGCTCAAATTTCTTACTCCAAGTACAGATTGACTATAGAGAAAGAATACAAACCTGACACACTTTTTCTGATTTTAAACCATACAGTACCCCCTTATTTTGTTCATATGACGATATACCCCGCAGTGGTTTCATTTTCTAGGTACAGGTTTTGCATGACCCCAATTAAATGTTCTGGAATCCTCATTCTTCACTATGCTATCTATTATGATCCATACAGTTGAATGTCTTGGCATTATCAATAAAACACAAGTAATTGTTTTTCAGTTATTTCTAGGCTGGAAAGATGAGCGAAATGGTCAGATTCTGCAAAGGTGTTTTCTGGTTTGTGGTTGAGACTAGGATGTGGCTCTTGCTCGCATTAGAGTGTGAGCTGATCAGATTTGGCCTCATATTTAAAAAGGCATTTGGGCCCTCTGGCCTGCGGTCCTCAGGCCTGGTTTTTGAGGATCTCCCGAATAGAACAGGCTTGGAAGCAGGAGTGGCATCCACTTCCAAAAGAAAAGTTTGCCTCTG